AAGGATTCTGGGGCTTCGTCTGACATACTTTGGACATGTTGTAAGGAGGGACAGGTCTTTGGAGAGGGACATCATGCTGGGTAGCGTGGAGGGACAGTGCAGGAGGGGAAGACCCTCTATGAGGTGGATTGATTCAGTGACTGGAGTACTCAGGATGGGTGTGTCGGGGGCAGTGAGATTGGCACAGGATAGAGAACGGTTTAGGGCTGTTGTACATAGGATTGCTATGAGTCACAGGTGACTTGACGGCACATAACAACAACAACCACAAAACAACAACAATCTCTTTTACATTTTTATAGTTAATTTTTTTGTCATTCAAATGTCTTATTTCTTTTCTTTTGGAGTTTATCCTGTATGAGGTCCCTTGTGCTTCTTGGTTGTTTTCTTCCTTCTTATTAGGAAAATTTTCTTCTGGCAAATTTTCAACAGCCACCTAAAGGGGATTTTTGTTTGTCTGCATCCTTGTGTTACGGAATTTCAATAATGTGTAAGTTTTCCTCTTGATGTCCCACATAAATTTCAAATTTTCTTCTTCTTTCTTAATTCCTTTTTTCTTGATTTTAACCTGATTTAAGATATTTCTAAATTGCTGATTCATTGTTCAGTTGATTCAGTTCTTCTCTTTTGTCCTTCTAGTGTGTTATCTCACAAGTTTTACATTGTTGTGGGGAACAAAAGAAGCCTGTTTTCCTTGCACAGTGTGTGTGTGCGCCTAAGGGTGAGCTATGCAGAGAAGGAGTAATCTGTGCTACCTGGGGCTGCCTGCTCACCTCTCTCAGCCTGGTAGATGAGGCTGATCATGAATGTGTGGTAGGACAGGCTCTAGGAATGTTATTGGGGAGGTGGAGAATTTGGTTCTGTGGTCATTTGCTGAGTGATGGTGGCTGCCCCTAGTTGGAGGACAAGGTAGTGCAGGATACCTAGTGGGTGAGGCCTAGTCCACCTGCACTCCTATGGGCACCGGAAGTTCCAGCTCAGATACTAAGTTTGTTCAGTTTCTTTTTTGCAGTTGTCATACTAACTCTGCTTCTAGATGACTAGAATGTATATGTGCATACTCCCATGGTCCTTTCCTGCTCTTCACACCCTCTTGGTGTCCACGCAGCCATGCTTTGATGTCTGCTTATCAGGAAATTGTGCTGCTTTTGGAGATTATAGTCCATGTCCTTGCACAGCACTATCTTGTACCCTCAGACTGACAGGTCGTCTTACTTGAATCCCAGGTCACCTGTCTTCATGAACCTCAGGACTTGTCAGTAGGAATCTTGGCTGACCTGTGGTGCTGGGACACCTTTGTAATAAATGTCTGTGTCTCCTAACTCAGGCATTTGGACAAGCGCACACAAACCACAAGAAGGTGGCCGCAGATGGCGAAAGTCGAGAGGAGAGCCTCATCCAGGAATCGGCCTCGAAGGAGCAATACTATGTGAGGAAGGTGCTGGAGCTACAGACGGAGTTGAAGCAGCTGCGCAATGTTCTCACCAACACCCAATCAGAGAATGAGCGGCTCACATCAGTGGCCCTGGAGCTGAAGGAGGTGAGCACAGGCTACGGGCAGGGTGGGTGTGTGCTGCTTCAACATTCCTATGCATGTGAACCCCAACTCCTTACAGGTATAGTGTTGTGACTGCTGAGAAGCATGGGCCAAGACGCACCTCTGTGAGTTGGTCTACTGACTCATCCAGGGAGCTGGAGCTGGAGTGTGCCTTCCGTCTCATGTGTTCACATCCTCTAGTAGGTCTCAGTTTGGTGGAATCAAGAGACCAGAAAGAAGAATACAGGATTTTCAAATTTCTGCTTATATTTGGTATGCTGACCCATGAACAAACCCTGCACACACATGGGCTCAGCAACAAGAAAAACAAAGACAAAGGTGCCTGGGCACAGGGAGCTGCATAGGGAGTGTTTTCTTTCATTAAGAGGCTGTACCAGGGAGCCACTGACACCATGCCTGCATGGGGAGAGCCTCTGACACCACATCTGCATGGGGGGAGCCTCTGACACCACATTTGTGCCATGGGGAACTGATGCACTGAAGAGAAATGCGCAAAGGAGCGATACTGGAAATTGAGTGAGGTCTCCATGCTCCTCCTTGCATCTACTCACATGCAGTACATCAGCTGCCTTTAGCGCAGAAAACCTTGGGCTCCCTTAGCTGCGGCAGTTGTTGGACAGAGGAGACTGCTTCAACACACCTTTTCTCTACCAAACTGAAGCATATCTTTTCTTGGGTCAGAAGGCAGAGAGAAACCCAGGTAGGGTAGGTGCCCCACCCTCTTCTAGAGTGGTGACTTCAGATAAAAAACCTGCTATCACCTCAGACATGAAAAACTACCACAGCAGTGTCACATAGGAAACAAGCTGCTTCACCCCCTCCACAAGCCCAGAGCAAGATGTTATCTCAAAAAAGTGATGAAGTATCAGTGGATTTCCTGAAACCAGAAAGGCTGATGAAACTTTCTGACACAAAATTTAAAAGAACAATGATTGAATACTTAAATGAGTGTAAGACAAACTAGAAGAATTACAGGACACTGCAAGCAAACACCAGGAGGATCTGGAAAAAAACCAATCCAAAACAATACAGATAAACAAGACATTAGAGGCCCTGGAAAAACAAGAAACCACAATCCAAAATGTGAGGACCAATGTTTCAGATGCTGTCAACATTATACATGAACAGGGTTGAAGAAATGGAACACAGAACCAGTGCAATAGAAGATAGCATTGTCACCACTAATCTGATAAACAAAAGCAGAATCAAAATGAAGGAAAAAGGAGGAAACCTAGGAATAATATGGGACAGCATCAAGAGAAATAACATATGCATAGTCAGAATCCTAGAACAAGAAGAAGCAACTAAAGGCACTGAAAAAGTTGTGGAAGAATTTTTAGAAGAAAACATTTCGGGCATAATGAAGAATGAGAGAATATGTATTCAAGAAGCTGACAGAACACCATATAGAATAGATGCCAAAAGAAAAACACCAAGACATATTATAGTTAGATTTGCCAGAACCAAAGACAAGGACAGAATTCTGAAAGGAGCAAGGGAGAAACAAAGTGTAGCCCATGAGGGAAAACAGATAAGATTAAATGCCAATTTCTTAGCAGAAACCATGCGAACAAGAACACAATGGAATGACATATACTGAACACTCAAAACAACTCTCAACCAAGAAAATTGTACTCAGCAAATTGTCCATCAAATATGAAGGAGAGGTCAAGATATTCCCAGAAAAACAGAATCTAAGGGAGTTCATAAAAGCAAGACCAGTATTGCAGAAAACACTGAGAGACATTCTTCTTACAGAGGTGCCACAAAAAGCAGGATGGACCAAAGTAAATAGCAACAACACCAAAAGGAACCCAACAAAATAATAGCAACAAAACCTTGCCTCTCAATAATCACACTGAATGTGAATGGTTTAAAGGAACCACAAAGAGAAAAAGAATAGCAAATTGGGTAAAAAACCAAAATCCATTAGTATACTATCTACAAGAGATACACCTGAAAAATGAAGATAGAGAAAGACTAAAAAGGGTGGAAAAAATATACCAAGCAAGTGGCAACCAAAAAAAAAAAAAAAGCAAGAGTGCTGATATTAATCTCTGATAAAATAGATTTCAACCCAAAAAAATATATATTTCAATGCAAAACCATTACAAAGGACAAGGAAGGTCACTACATAATGATTAAGACGTCAGTAGAATAAGAAGACATACAATGATGAATATCTATGCAGCAAATGAAAGACCTGCAAAACATATAAAACAAACATTAACAAAACTAAAAAAGGAAATGGACAACATTACTCTAGTAGTTGGAGACTTCAGTATATCACTGTCAAGAAAAGATGGAACTTCCAGAAAGAAACTCAACAAAGATGCTGAAGAAATAAACCATACAATAAACTAACTCAATCTCCTAGATGTTTACAGGCTAAGGCACCCCAAAAAAACCACAGTACACTTTCTTCTAGAATGTGCATAGAATGTTCCCCAGAATAGATCATATTTTAGGACACAAGGCAAGCATCAATAAATACAAAAGCATAGAAATAATACAAAGCATCTTCTCAGACCACAATACTACAAAATTAGAAATTAATAATAGGATGATAAAGGAGAAAAAACCATACATTTGGCAGCTGAACAACACCTTCCTTGAACATGAGTGTGTACTAGAAAAAATAAAAAATAACAAAAAATTTCTTGAACAAAATGACAGTGAAAACACAACTTACCAAAACCTCTGGGAAACAGCCAAAACAGTAATTAGAGGTCAATTAATAACAATGAGGAAACACATTAAAAGACCGAAAAAAATTACTCTCTAACCCAACATCTCCATCAAATTAAAAGAACAGCAAGAAAACCCAACAACATAAAAAAACCCTGAAATTATAAAAATTATGGAACAAAGAAATGAAATAGAAAAGAGAAAAACAATTGAAAGCTTCAGCAAAATCAGGAGTTGGTTCTTTGTAAAGATCAATAAAATTGCAGACCACTATCAAAACTAACAAAAGAAAAGAAGGAAAAGACACAAATATCTGAATAAAAGACGAAATGTCACAATGGAACCAACTAAAATACAAAGGTTAGCACTGGAATATTAGGAAAAACTATACTCAAAACAAATATGAAAACTTAGAGGAAATGGACAAATACTTGGAAAATCAAACCTACCTAAACTGGCACAAACTGAAATTGAACACCTGAACAGACCCATTACAAAAGAAGAAATTGGAAAGGTAATAAAACAACTTCCAGCCAAATAAAGCCCTGGACCAGATAGTTTTACAAGTGAATTCTATCAAATATTCAGAGAAGACCTGTCACCAATTCTACATAAACTATTTCAGAAAATAGAAAAACAGAGAATTCTTCCAGATTAATTCTGTGAAGCAAACATATCTTTGATACCAAAGCCAGGAAAAGACACCACCAAAATAGAAAACTGTAGATGACTATTTCTCATGAACATAGATGCAAAAATCCTGAATAAAATTCTGGCCCATAGAATCTAATGATACATCAAAAAAATAATTCACCTTGACCGAGTGGGATTCCTAACAGGTATGCAAGGATGGTTCAACATAAGAAAAGCAATCAATCAACATACAAAAATCAGTTGGATTTCTCTACAGTGACAGAGAGAATACAGAGCTGGAGCTAAGAAAAGCAATATCCTTTACAATCGCTAATCACAAGATTAAATATTTGGGAGTAAATATAACTAGAAGCACAAAAGACCTATTCCAAGAAAATTACAAAACATTATTACAAGAAACAAAAAAAAGCCTAGAGAAGTGGAAGAATAGTCCCTGCTCATGGATAGGAAGGCTTAATGTTGTGAAAAT